CATTACATCTTTTAGGTAAGCTATTTAATGATAATGATTATAATAATGGATATGAAAGTCTAGACCCGATTTCCCCAATTCCGCTACCAAAGTTTTATAATTTAAATGAACCCTCAATTGAATTATACATATTCTCTTTTACAGAAAGTGTATAGATCAATTGATAGCGACAGTCACACATTGTATAAGATTACTTCCCAAGCAAAGTCCAATTTCTTTGACTCCTTAGCTCAGCTTCTGAATATCAGAGACAAACCAAAGATATACCCATCACGGATATATGCATTGTTTTAGATCGGTATAAACAAATGCAAATTGTTTAAAAAATAAAAATGTTTACCCCTCAAATCAAGGAAGGTCCCACGAAACGCCCCCTCTACTCTAGAGCAGGTGTGAACAGACACAAATATCTACCACATGTTGTGCTGTGTGCAAAGAGGAGAGAGTATCACTGAAATACGTGGTATGGATGGTGAAATTACATCAGTGAAGGATGATGCAAGGAAAAAAGCTAACTGGGAAGTAAAGATAATCAGAAATTGAAAAATAAATAGCTTTGGATCTGAAGTTTGAATTGTTGAAAGACTTCTGTGTTTGTGCGTGCATCACAGCGGTCACTGGTGGAGTGGGAACAGAAGTCATCTAATGTGAAGAAAGAGGAGGTACTCTGGTCTGTGTGTGTGTCAGCATGCTCGGATGCTGACAGTGACCTTTAAACTATGCTTCCTTGTGCAACTGTTCTAACCATGGTAAGCCGCTATTTCCATGGCCACATCCATACCATCAGACAAGATGTTCCTTCCTCATTCTTCTCAAACAGAGCGTTTAGTGTGACAGTGTCATTCAGATAAGTGTCATTTCTAACCACACAGTAGTTCTGAATTTTTCTTCCTCAAAAATGATTGAATATGGCACTTTTTCTTGGTGTTCGGATACATTTTCCAACCTTTAACATATTATTTAAAATGTAACTTCAGTAAAGCAACAATTGAAGGGTAAAAAGTATTAACATGATTGAATATGATAATACCTGCAGATATTAATTTGAAGGGGTGCACTTGACACACGTAACACCCACATTTTCAACTCTCCAACCATGCAGAGACCATGCAGAAGAAGACCATTTCATACTTAGAAACTCAATAGTCTTGCATTTGGCTACATACATATACAGTATTAATGGAATTTACACAAATCAAGTAAATTACTTGTATTATTTACATCATTTATATACACATTATTCAAAAATAAATATAACTATATTCACACATAATTACACAATCCTAAAAGCTTAGCTAGAAGATTTAAGAATTCAGGTTGGACGAGACTAGCCTGGTCCCAGATCTGTTTGTGCTGTCTTGCAGTTGGCAGAAGAGTTGCAAAGGGAGGGTAGATTACTGGAAACCTTTTAAATGTACCAGTAAACAACCAGAATGTTCGTATCTTTCAAGGATTTTTTTTTTTATCTATCGCAAGACATCTAGTGGCCCTTTGGGTACTTCAGATGATCACAGGTATTTGTAATTATCTCTAGCCCTGTTGCCTTATCACATGTAAAATATATGAAATAATTACATTTGATGATTTTAAAATAACAAATAGAATGACAAATCTGTAAAGCATTATCCTAAATATAAACCATCAACTTAGTGAATACCATTGTTTAAATGAGGGTTTCCACATGAAATATCCTTTATTTTTACACACGTATTTATTTTACTATGTCAATATATTTGTTGTCAATGTTTTGGCGTCAAACTGGTGGCAATTGTGAAAAAAGGAAATAGTTGGGAGAGTTGCAGAGTTAACTGAAAATACTGCCAATGTTAATTAGATGCTTTTTTTCATTCATTGGGCTATATTCTCAAATAGAAACTCATGGACAATATGGCCACAGTTATAAAAAATGAATACTATATATGATGTTTTAGTTTTTTTTTCCAAAGTTATGATATAGATTCTGTTAATTACCAAAATTACAAAAGATTCTTGTAACTTTGGTAAATTACCGGTAGCTTTGCAACCCTAGACAGAAGTTAACAGAACACAGCACAAATAGATCTGGGACCAAGTTAAGATGAGACTATGCTTACCTGAACGCTTCCCAGCTAGCACATAACGTTCTGAGAACCATATGTTACTTAAGAGCTTGGTGAGAGCGTGGTTGTCCTATGTTTTTTTTTCATACAATATTCTTCTGTGGGAATTTCAGTACGTCAGCATAACTTTTCCTACAGGTTTCCTCATGGTTCTATTTAATGTAATGTTTTCAAATTGTTCTTAGAATGTAAAGAAAACGTTCCATAAAAACCACAAGAAAACTTTCAGAGAACGTTATTTAAAAAAACATACATTCCGTTCTCAGCATCATCAAAATTCTCTCTATCTTGTTAAGTGCGTTCAGGTATGTTGGCCGCTCCCACTAATTGGCCACACTGGATCTTAATGAGTGCTTGTCCTTTGAAAGGGCATCTGTTTGAATAGACTTTAATTAACAGCTTTGCACAGTGGACTAATTCCACGGCTAGGAAACAGAACGTTATAGGTTCGAATCTCACTGATGCCGTGTCACAATAAAACAAATGTGTTTGCATGATTAATGCCTAAGGAAATGAATTTATGTGCCCCATCTGTGCTTGGAGTAAAAAAAAAAGTACAAACAATAAGATGGCAGTGTTATTAAAGGTCTTACTGAGCACGGGTTACATGCACACAATAATATGATTATTGTGGAGTCAGATTAATATAATAGTTTGCATGATTTGCAAGAACAATGATTTCCCTAATAATCCTGTCTACATGGACACATCTGAAATCAGGCTACTGATCAGACTTTTGATAAATGCAGAAAATCGCCAATCAAAATAAACGTTCTACCACAGTGGACATGTTATTTTTGCGAAGACTAATTGATTCGGAGTTCGGACATATAAAGTTTGTGTGTAAAAACGAATTTGTAAGACGCATAATTTCCGTTTTTCGAAACACCGTTTTTCTGAACACACTTGTGCATAAGATGGAGGCTTGCGCAGATCAAACCGGTGCAGATCAAATACATGCGCAGATCAAATACACTGCTGGAATGCCGATGAAGCTGTTTACGTGTCCTAATAATTCAAAAGACTGCTTAGAAAACCAGGTTTTAATCGGCGTATGCTTACTTCAATTATGAATTTACGCCGATTAAGATAAACAGATTATGGTGTTTACATTACTAATTCCATACTCGGCCTTCTGCCATAATCAGTTTAATATTAAATGATTAGTGTGCATGTAAACGTACCCATTGAAACATCTTCTCCAAGTCATTAAGGTTTCGAGGCTGACGTTTGGCAACTCGAACCTTCAGCTCCCTCCACAGATTTTCTATGGGATTAAGGTCTGGAGACTGGCTAGGCCACTCCAGGACCTTAATGTGCTTCTTCTTGAGCCACTCCTTTGTTGCCTTGGCCGTGTGTTTTGGGTCATTGTCATGCTGGAATACCCATCCACGACCCATTTTCAATGCCCTGGCTGAGGGAAGGAGGTTCTCACCCAAGATTTGACGGTACATGGCCCCGTCCATCGTCCCTTTGATGCGGTGAAGTTGTCCTGTCCCCTTAGCAGAAAAACACCCCCAAAGCATAATGTTTCCACCTCCATGTTTGATGGTGGGGATGGTGTTCTTGGGGTCATAGGCAGCATTCCTCCTCCTCCAAACACGGCGAGTTGAGTTGATGCCAAAGAGCTCGATTTTGGTCTCATCTGACCACAACACTTTCACCCAGTTCTCCTCTGAATCATTCAGATGTTCATTGGCAAATTTCAGACGGCCCTGTATATGTGCTTTCTTGAGCAGGGGGACCTTGCGGGCGCTGCAGGATTTCAGTCCTTCACGGCGTAGTGTGTTACCAATTGTTTTCTGGGTGACTATGGTTCCAGCTGCCTTGAGATCATTGACAAGATCCTCCCGTGTAGTTCTGGGCTGATTCCTCACCTTTCTCATGATCATTGCAACTCCACAAGGTGAGATCTTGCATGGAGCCCCAGGCCGAGGGAGATTGACAGTTCTTTGTGTTTCTTCCATTTGCGAATAATCGCACCAACTGTTGTCACCTTCTCACCAAGCTGCTTGGCGATGGTCTTGTAGCCCATTCCAGCCTTGTGTAGGTCTACAATCTTGTCCCTGACATCCTTGGAGAGCTCTTTGGTCTTGGCCATGGTGGAGAGTTTGGAATCTGATTGATTGATTGCTTCTGTGGACAGATGTCTTTCATACAGGTAACAAGCTGAGGTTAGGAGCACTCCCTTTAAGAGTGTGCTCCTAATCTCAGCTCGTTACCTGTATAAAAGACACCTGGGAGCCAGAAATCTTTCTGATTGAGAGGGGGTCAAATACTTATTTCCCTCATTAAAATGCAAATCAATTTATAACATTTTTGACATGCGTTTTTCTAGATTTTTTTGTTGTTATTCTGTCTCTCACTGTTCAAATAAACCTACCATTAAAATTATAGACTGATCATTTCTTTGTCAGTGGGCAAACGTACAAAATCAGCAGGGGATCAAATACTTTTTTCTCTCACTGTATGTTCACTTCCCTTCTCAGCATGTTTAAAAAGCGTTCCGTTTTACCGGTCAGGAAATGTCTGGCTTCGTTCCCAGAACCAATGGGAAACCAAAAACGTACATTCTCGCAACTTCCAAAGAACCAAATGTGCTAGCTGGGTAACTGACACCGGTCAGATCAGTAAGTTACATTTACATCCCTACTTCTCATTGTAGTTTGACTGCAACCCTAATTCAGACAAATGTTGAATTTGGGCTCCCCTGCCTCTAGCCTGGTCCCAGATCTAGTTGTGCTGTATAGACAACTCCTATAGCCGTTGTCAAAGCGTGTTTAGCATGACAATTACCATAGGAATTGGCAAGACCGCAAAACAATGATCTGGGACCAGATTACCCTGCATCTTGGCCATTCTGTAAATAAGCAACATCTGTCTGCATTCCTATCGAGCCTGAGTGCCAGTCTGTTTGTGCTATTATGCCAACTCCTTGTCAACAGCCATTGTTATGCCAATTGGCTTGAAAAATGTCAGCATTACAATGTGTTGGCATTGACAAGAGTACAAACAGACCTGGCACCAGGCTAATTCCTATGCGGTGGAATCGTTCGACATAAGACAAAATAGACTCTTAAAAAGGATGGGGCTTGTTAGAAGTAATCAAAGTCCAAGTCCAAATCTGGTGGTGGCTGGTATAAGAGGTAACAGATGATGCGATTGGGCAAGCCCAGTTTAGATACGTCGTCCAGGGCTCTTCTGCCCAGTGCTGTTCTCAGAGCTACCCTGCTGATCTGTTGTAGACTGAGGGGACTATCTGGGGAAGAGCAAAAACCTGTCAGTTGAGATAATTGGCTTAAAACACCCGAAAATACTACATTAACCTTTTCACATTATTGTTCCAAACTGAACTGTAACTTTGAGGCTAGAATATTTTCTATTCTCATTGTCCTCTTCAGCACGGTTCAAGCAACTATGGTGAATGCATAACAACACACTGGGTCAATTCAACATCTACTCCATGTTGGTTCAAAGTAATTAGCACTTTGTGACATCTGCTGATGTAAAAAGGGCTTTATAAATACATTTGATTGATCTGATGTAAAAAGGGTTTTATAAATACATTTGATTGATTGATTGAAATGACATGTAAACGACGTCGATTCAACCAGCGTGTGCCCAGTGGGAAGGCTAGTGTAATGCAGCCCAGCTCTGCTCAGTACTGTGAAAAGGGTGTGTATACGACTCTTTGAAGGTCATATTTTCAAACATGGGCTAATCGCATCTACTCTAAACGTTTCAAAATGTTCTACCTACGTTGTATGAATAAAATACTTACTTTCATAGAACTCTAGGCAGATATTGGTTGGAGACCCTTGACTAGTGTAGTTGATGGGCTTTTTGCCCAGGTGGTCCCTGGCATATATGTTTCCTCCGAACTCAATCAGCAGCTCGATCAGATCCACGTTCTTTACTTTGGCTGCATGATGGAGTGCCGTCTCATGGAGCTTGGCAGCATTTACATTCGCCCCTTGGAGAAGATGCAAAGGTTTGGTTTTAAAGGGAAGTGGTTGAGACTTACATTCTTAGAATTACAAACGTGCATCAAAAAGTACTGAACATTGTTTCAAAGGGTCAGGTTGTGGTTTGCATTTGTGTAATGCTTTCAAATGGAAGTCTCAAGTTTCTCCTAATTTTTATGGTTAGGTATTTATTTACTTGAGAGAGCACAGTCCCATTAATGGCGTTTAAAATATCAGGAGCAAAACAAAGTGTTGAAATAATGTTACGACAATGGGGTCCACCCACCTGCATTGAGGAGCACCTTGGCACAGTCAAAGTGTTGTCTGGCACACGCTACATGTAGCGGCGTCCCAAAGTGGCAGTCATGGGCCTCCAGCAGAGCTCCTACGTCTGTCATGAGCTGAACGCAATCGGAGTTACCTGTAACACACACGTCAGTCATAGTTTAAGACACTTGGTTATTAAGGGAGAGGAAACTCCACATTATCCCAGTGTGTGAGTGTGTCTTTATACTGTGTGTGGTGCCCAAGACTGCTGGCCCCCTCTCCAACAACATGAACATTGTAGTAATCAAAAACAAAATGTACCTCCCATGCAGGCCTCGTGGAGGGGTGAGAAGGTAAACAGTGGAGGGTTGACCGTAGCCCCATGCTGTATGAGTAGTTTCACACACTCCAGGCTCCCCGCCGCACAGGCATCACATAGAGGGGTACTGCCGTCAATGTTCCGTGCATCCACCTTTGTGGAGACAGACACACATACACCCACAATCATCATTATTGTACTACAACCACATTTAGAAATGTTCAACTGAAAAAACGTCTAGCTGGAACTCGTCTGAGCCGTTGGCTTCTGAGCCCTCACCCGCTATGTCCTTATGTGCTGATTTACTTAGATCGGTCCACTATAGTGTTGTCCTGTCAGAACGTGATGTGAGGCCCAGTAATATACACTGTATAGTTGAGGATGTTTTGAATACGTGTGTGGTTCTAAAAAAGGCAGAGCAAACAATCATTAGGATCCATGCAGAGATACACAATAATATACACCAGGCTTCCCCAACTGGCGGTCGGCCCGCGGGTGGTTTTATTTGGCCCCCCCAAGTGTTCTGAGCAAATTATTATTTTGTTTTTTTGAATTTTCATTGTTGGACATAAAAGACTAAACTCCAGGAAATCAGCTCCAATTGATATTAATTTTGGAAATCTGTTCCCAAGTATTCCCACGCATAATAGAGACACGTGACCATATACAAATGTAAGCAAGGTTTGAAATGATCATGTTTTAGTCAAATATTATATCTGTTTGGGATTCTTGCAGTCAAATTGCAGTCTACAAATGATTTGTAATTATGTTCTGGCTCCCCGACCAGCCGCTCAAGAAAATCGGCCCGCGGCTGAATCTAGTTGATGATCCCTGATATACACCATGATAATCAGAAGGAGGAGACTACATAGTCTGCAAAGGCAAAGGTAAAGAGATGTGTAAACATATGGAATAAACATGCTAATGAATGCAATCGCATTACATTCCTAAAGCATGAAACAAGCTGGAAAGGGCTGGAAAGTTCCAGAAACTTTTACAATGGCAGCCTGCAATAGATCATTGTGGATACCAATATCCCTGTAAGCCTCCCAGGCCCATGTTGCCCAGGGTTAAGAACATACATTGTAGATTAATAATATTACATTGTATTACAAACATTAAAAACTTATTCCACGGATCCCTCTGCAAAAAGAGTCAGAGGCTGGCCACAGCTGGAGGCGGTGGATTGTGGTATGCCGGCCACAACTGTAATTAGCAGCTCAGAGGCTGAGGTTGGTGGCTCCCATGGTGGAGCAGGTGGGGACCCCTGGGCGAGGCTCATCAGGGATCTGTAGAAAGGGGCCGGCTGGCCCCCAGAAACGAGGTCAGGTGGTTCCAAAGGTGCGAGGGGTAGAGAGGCGGGCGGGCCCCCCAGAACTGGAGACAGCAGGCCCCCTGGGTCAGGGAATGGTGAGTCCCCCAGGTCAGGGGGCTGAGGGCCTAACAGGGCAGGAAACTCAGGGGCTGACAGAGCAGGGGACTTGGAACCTACTACTAAGACTGAGGACTGCAAGCCAGGTATGGCGGGAGGCTGCGACCCTAGCTGAGCAGGGTACTTGAAGCCTAGCACTAGTATAGGCGACTGGGCGCCGGCTGAGGCTGGGGGCTGCGAACTGGCTAGGGGCAGGGACTGCACACCTAGAGGAGCGGATAATTCAGAGCCTAGCGGGAAGGGAGACCCAGGGCCTAGAACTAGGGCAGGAGGTTTGGTGTGTAGCACCAAGGGAGATGACTGCTTGCCAACCAACTGAGGGCAGAGGCTGCAGACCTAGTGTGGCAGAGAACCTATAGCCTGGCGAAGCAGTGGACAGAGGGCCGATTAGAGCCGGTGACAGCGAAACTAGATCGACTGAGGGCTGGGAGCCTAGTGCTGATAACTTTGGGCCTGACAGGGAAACTGACTCTGGACCTGACAGGGAAACTGACTCTGGACCTGACAGGGAAGCTCTGGGCCTACTGAAGAGACTGGTGACTCTGAGCCTAGCGGGGCAGGAGCCTGATGACCCACCTGGCCTATGGGGTTGAGGGCCGACTAGTGCTGGAGACAGCAGACCTAGTACAACTGGAGACTGAGGACCTAGTGCTAGGAACTGAGGTCCGAAGAGGGCTGAGGACTGAGAACATAGCATACAGGAGGCTCTAAACCTGGTGGGCTAGGGAGCTACCTACTAACTAAAGCTGGGGGCTGTGATCTGAGGGCAGGAGACTGCAGGCCTGCAAACGGAGCAGCTAACTTAGGGTCTAGCATTGCAGGGGGCTCCAAGTCTGGCGGGCTAGGGGGCTGCAGGCTGACTTGGTCTGGAGACAGCGAGCCTAGTGCAGCAAACTTTGGGCCTAACAGGGCAGGAGGCTCTGAACCTGGCGGGCTAGGCAACTGCCTACCAACTAAGGCAGGGGGCTGCATACCCGATAAACCAGGGGGCCGCGACCCGAGCAGGGCAGGAGACTGCAGACCTGCCGGCAAAGCAAGCGTGGGGCCTAGCTGGGTAGGATACCTAAGGCCTGCCAGAGCAGCAAACTTAGGAGGCTACTATTGCAGGGGTCTGTGGATTTAGAAAGGCTTTATTTTATTATGGCCCCCTCTCTGGCCTGGCTAGGGCTAGATGTTATCTGAAAGCATGGCTATTGCGTATGTGCTAGAGCATGAAACGAGGTGGATAGGGCTGGAAAGTTCCAGAAACTATACAATGGCAGCCTGCTTATAACAGTAGCATGTAACACTACATAAATCACTGCAGTAGAATGGGATATAGACACTTGAAATGGCAACACTTAATATACAGGTGGCAAGGCAATAGGCTAATGATAATATGGCAATAAAAAAAATCATGCATGTACAAACAATAGTGCTAGCATTAGTTACAAGTGAACCATGATAAACCAAACTCTCAAACCTAACAACTCGGCCTAATCCTGCGAGAGTCAGATATTGCACACACGAATATACACATTTTACAACACTTACATGTTCGATGGACGCACAACACTTCAAGATAGAAAAACAGCATGTGAGAGTCCGTCACTACACAACTTGGATCTTCTCGAGGTGGCAGGTGAACATGCTCTGACTTGAGGTGTGTGGGGCGGAGCCCTGGAGTGTGTCCAAGCACCCTAATTGTTTGGAATTGAGAGAGGCGATTGACAGGTCTGAAGGCTAGTCAGGTTCTGTGCATTCAAATGATTTATTAATTTTAAAACGTACATTCTTTCATTGTTCATTTTTGTCAGGGACCATGTATACTGAACAAAAATATAAACGGAACTTGTAAACTGTTGGTCCCATGTTTCATGAGCTGAAACAAATGATTCCCGAAATGTTCCATATGCAGAAAAAGCTTATTTCTCTCAAATTTTGAGCACCAATTTGTTTACATCCCTGTAGTGAGCATTTCTCCTTAGACAAGATAATCCATCCACCTGACAGTTGTGCAGGGTTGGGGAGTAATGGATTACATGTAATCCATTACATGTAAGGGATTACAAAAAACGGTAACTGTAATCCGTTACCAGCGAAAATATTGTAATCAGATTACAGATACTTTTGAAAAACTAGATGATTACTTCGAGGATTACTTTTAAATTCAGAAGAGATGTTTGCAGAAAACAAATCTTTGACACTTCTTTGTTTCCTAAATGACATTCAAATCAGCATTGAAAATGTAAGTTTGTTCCACCTGAGCGAGTCTGACCACAAGTCAGAGACCCCTATGTCGTCACACCAAATGCTTTTGATGGATCGCAGGAAAAGAGCAGGAACAGGCTTTTGTAGGCTACAGTCCAAGCTGTGTCTTCCAATGGTGCGACTGCAGTCGGCATCCAAAGATTATCCAGCTTGAATAAACGCTTGGAGGTAAGGATGACAGCAGTGGTGTAGTCTACGGCGATACGGATATCACTTATTATTGATATCTACATAGCGCATTGATGTGAATCACACTGCTGCTCTCTCATTTAGCTATTTGCGCCTTAGGGATTGTGGTTGTTGTGGATGGCTGTTCACAAATCTAAATGTGTATTTGAACCCAATAATGGTTGAATTCAATAAGTATAAGCTGCCTATAAATCATTGTTTTTGAAACCAGTGGACAGCCAGTGAAAAATGCGCTTCTGCAACAGCTGCATAGTGCGGATCCCAGCCTGTGGAATAAAAGTGGGGCTTTTATTGTTCAATCTAATTCACGCTGATAAAAAAATACAATCCATAGGCCTAATGGATACATGCTCAAACTCGCACAATTTAGATAGACTTAAAGGGGCAATCTGTAGTTACTACATCCATTTTTGGATTTATATACAGTGGGGAGAACAAGTATTTGATACACTGCCGATTTTGCAGGTTTTCCTACTTACAAAGCATGTAGAGGTCTGTAATTTTCATCATAGGTACACTTCAACTGTGAGAGACGGAATCTAAAACAAAAATCCAGAAAATCACAATCACAGTATGATTTTTAAGTAATTAATTTGCATTTTATTGCATGACATAAGTATTTGATCACCTACCAACCAGTAAGAATTCCGGCTCTCACAGACCTGTTAGTTTTTCTTTAAGAAGCCCTCCTGTTCTCCACTCATTACCTGTATTAACTGCACCTGTTTGAACTCGTTACCTGTATAAAAGACACCTGTCCACACACTCAATCAAACAGACTCCAACATCTCCACAATGGCCAAGACCAGAGAGCTGTGTAAGGACATCAGGGATACAATTGTAGACCTGCACAAGGCTGGAATAGGCAAGCAGCTTGGTAAGAAGGCAACAACTGTTGGCGCAATTATTAGAAAATGGAAGCAGTTCAAGATGACGGTCAAACACCCTTGGTCTGGGGCTCCATGCAAGATCTCACCTCGTGGGGCATCAATGATCATGAGGAAGGTGAGGGATCAGCCCAGAACTACACGGCAGGACCTGGTCAATGACCTGAAGAGAGCTGGGACCACAGTCTCAAAGAAAACCATTAGTAACACACTACGCCGTCATGGATTAAAATCCTGCAGCGCACGCAAGGTCCCCCTGCTCAAGCCAGCGCATGTCCCGTCTGAAGTTTGCCAATTACCATCTGGATGATCCAGAGGAGGAATGGGAGAAGGTCATGTGGTCTGATGATACAAAAATAGAGCTTTTTGGTCTAAACTCCACTCGCCGTGTTTGGAGGAAGAAGAAGGATGAGTACAACCCCCAAAACACCATCCCAACTATGAAGCATGGAGGTGGAAACATCATTCTTTGGGGATGCTTTTCTGCAAAGGGGACAGGACGACTGCACCGTATTGAGGGGAGGATGGATGGGGCCATGTATCACGAGATCTTGGCCAACAACCTCCTTCCCTCCGTAAGAGCATTGAAGATGGGTCGTGGCTGGGTCTTCCAGCATGACAACGACCCAAAACACACAGCCAGGGCAACTAAGGAGTGGCTCCGTAAGAAGCATCTCAAGGTCCTGGAGTGGCCTAGGCAGTCTCCAGACCTGAACCCAATAGAAAATCTTTGGAGGGAGCTGAAAGTCCGTATTGCCCAGCGACAGCCCCGAAACCTGAAGGATCTGGAGAAGGTCTGTATGGAGGAGTGGGCCAAAATCCCTGCTGCAGTGTGTGCAAACCAGGTCAAGACCTACAGGAAACGTATGATCTCTGTAATTGCAAACAAAGGTTTCTGTACCAAATTTTAAGTTCTGCTTTTCTGATGTATCAAATACTTATGTCATGCAATAAAATGCAAATTAATTACTTAAAAATCATACAATGTGATTCCGTCTCTCACAGTTGAAGTGTACCTATGATAAAAATTACAGACCTCTACATTCTTTGTAAGTAGGAAAACCTGCAAAATCGGCAGTGTATCAAATACTTGTTCTCCCCACTGTATATACTGTATATCCATTGATTCTTGAAGAATATAGCTTATAAGTGCCTCATGAGCTTAGTTCAACTGTCACACTCCACGAGAACCCAAAATATAAGCTTGTTTTTCTCCAATGTTTGTAAACATTGTAAATGTAAACAAACACTGTATAGCCTCATACCATGGTTAAAACTATAATTTTGATCACATGGATGGTCAATCCTTGCATCCATAGCTCTGTCTATTCATCTGAGAGTGGTAACATTTCTCCAGGCCCATCACTCAGCTTTTTACCAAAACAAACGCTGGGCGACTGTTTTGTTAATGTTTCATCTGTGGATTTGCCCTTTAAACAGCTGCATATTATCAAGATATCAAAGTGTCACCAACAAAAAAGTAAACAATAGGCCTTTAGAAAATGCAGCATATGGCATTCATTTTTCACATGTAAATAGCACTTTTCAGTAGTGCTCAAAGCGTGCCATTCCATGAGCGCAGCATTTATTTTTCAACTCGAATCGATGAGCCCAATCAGTTCTCCATGACAACAAAATCATAAACAACAGAGTAGGGCTGGCTAATAAGTCCTTAGTTTTGGGGTTATGCTCAGGTAAAACAATTTGGCTAATCTATACTTCCATATTTCAAGACCTATTCTTGAAGATCAAGGGGTATAACATTTATTGGAATGAATGGAATTCTGATAGACTTTGGTTTTTAATGTAAAGATATAATTTAATCATATTATTATCTGTAGTAGAAAGCAATGGGTTAGAAGAAGCCTACATAACCAACACATAAAGTAAAATTGTACATCCATATATGGCCAGCTATGTAAACTTTAACATTGATATATCCAGCAATAGATGTTGTTCAATTGGTAACATAAATGTTTGTCTTCTTTTAATGCCTCTTAAAGGGAAAGTAATCTAAATGTAAGTGAAAGTAATCCGATTACGTTACTGAGTTTGGGTAATCCAAAAGTTACGTTACAAATTCCAATTTTGGACAGGTAACTAGTAACTGTAACAGATTACATTTAGAAAGTAACATACCCAACCCTGCAGGTGTGGCATATCAAGAAGATTATTAAACAGCATGATCATTACACAGGTGCACCTTGTGCTGGAGACAATAAAAGGCCACTCTAAAATGTGCAGTTTTGTCACACAACACAATGCCACAGATGTCTCAAGTTGAGGGATTGTGCAATTGGCATGCTGACTGCAGGAATGTCCACTAGAGCTGTTGCCAGAGAATTGAATGTTAATTTCTCTTCCATCAGCCGCCTCCAACGTGTAGCTCAGTTGGTAGAGCATGGCGCTTGCAACGCCAGGGTTGAGGGTTGGATTCCCACGGGGGGCCAGTATGAAAAAATATATGCACTCACTAACTGTAAGTCGCTCTGGATAAGAGCGTCTGCTAAATGACAAAAATGTAAAATGTAGAGAATTTGGCAGTATGTCCAACCTGCCTCACAACCGCAGACCACGTGTAACCACGCCAGCCTGACTGCAGTTCGGCGTCGTAACCAACTTCAGTGGGAAAATGCTCACCTTCGATGGCTACTGGCACACTGGAAAAGTGTGCTCTTCATGAATGAATCCCGGTTTCAACTGTACCGGTCAGTTGGCAGACAGCATGTATTGCGTTGTGTGGGCGAGAGGTTTGCTGATGTCAACGTTGTGAACAGAGTGCCCCATGGTGGCGGTGGGGTTATGGTATGGGCAGGCATAAGCTATGGACAATGAAAACAATTGCATTTTATCGATGACTATTTGAATGCACAGACATACCGTGACAAGATCCTGATGCCCATTGTCATTCCATTAATCTGCCACCATCACCTCACGTTTCAGCATGATAATGCATGGCCCAATGTCGCAAGGATCTGTACACAATTCCTGGAAGCTGAAAATGTCCCAGTTCTTCCATGGCCTGCATACTCACCAGACATGTCACCCATTGAGCATGTTTGGGATGCTCTGGATCGATGTGTATGACAGCGTGTTCCAGTTCCCGCCAATATCCAGCAACTTCGCACAGCCATTGAAGTGGAGTGGAACAACATTCCACAGGCCACAATCAACTGCCTGATCAACTCTATGTGAAGGTGATGTGTCGCGCTGCATGAGGCAAATGGTGATCACACCAGATACTGACTGGATTTCTGATCCACGCCCATACCTTTTTTTAAGGTATTCATTTCTGTGTTCCCAGTCATGTGAAATCCATAGATTAGAGCCTAATACATTTATTTCAATTGACTGATTTCCTTATATGAACTGTATCTCAGTAAAATCTTTGAAATTGTTGCATGTTGCATTTATATTTTTGCTCAGTGTACAATGAAAACATACATCTCAGAAGCTGGTGCATAGCTGGACAGAACTACAGAACCAATTTCAGCTCGACACAGAGTTCTAGCTTCCCTATAGTTCTCCGACTCACCTGTGCCCCAGCATCCAGCAGCAGGCGGACACACTGTGTCTGCCCCTGTATGCAGGCCTCGTGGAGGGGGGTGATGGAGTCCACAGCCACAATGTTGACCGCTGCTCCTCCCTGGATCAGTTGCTGCAGCTGGAGGGCCTTGCCCTGGGCAGCTGCCTCGTGTACCGCTGAACGGTCTGTCCAGAACCCCAGGCCATGAGCTGCAGGCAGGGAGAGTGTGAGAAATTACTACAAATACATATACCTGATACAGACAGACAGACAGACAGTAGAGGCGCATATAATTTAATCTGCCCAACAACTGTTGATCTATTTTACATGATACAGGGTGGGTAATTCTATATTATGGTAACATTATTTGAGCTCATCATACAAAGTAGGTATTTAGTTTAAGTCTGTATATATGAATAAATAACGTTACTGAAAAAATACTGTTCTAGATCTTGAGTTATTGCTGAAACCCTTTGTAGGGTCCATGCAGGGCCAGGTTCTCACCCTATGAGGCTGAACAACTGCTGACATCCACTGTCTGTCTGTGTGATGATTGTTGACATGTATTGGCATAACCCTAAACTAAACATATTCTAATCTAGACAACATTGGCTAGATTCATGATCTGGTCGGCAACAAGCTAGATACAGGTGAATTAATGTTATATAACGATCATCTAGGCTACCTACTACAGTCCTGAACACGAAATAGAATAATAGGCAACACGCTCTAATAGACTCGTCGTCACTTACTTGTTATAACAAGCTTAGCTGGCTGCATGGTCTCAAATTAGGTCAGTTAAAAACAAGTTAGAGCAAATGTTTTCTAATAATAGGCCTAATGAATAAGCCAGCTAAATAAAATACTCAACAAGGGAAAGCATGACAAATACGTGTCGAGGACAGCAAATGTCTCTATAATTTCGATTGTGGGTCAAGTTTGCCTGCTGTCAGACAGACAGATGAGACACAAATAAAACACTCACCTATATCCCCAAACAATGACGGTCTGGCGCGAGTCATCTCCATTTAGATATGGTATCCTCTCTTCTAGTCTTCCAGAATAAATTGATGCATTTTATAACGCAAAGATGAACAGGGAAGCATTGTTACAGTAACGTTGTTGATGATGGTGCCTAAAGTTAAGAAGCAGTGGTTAGAAGCACTCAGTAACCGAAAAGAACATACAAGGATTGTGGGATATGTAGTTTAGAATGATACGTTCCTAGTGATTCCAGCATGGGCAGACTTAAAAGAAAGTTGAACCACTAAATTGAAAGAAGCTCCAGCCGAATGTAATAATAATAAAGACATCACACTAATCTGTGGAAATCCAACATTTGTCCACCATAGGGCGCATGTAAGACGTTTCAGAACAAGTAGTGACGTCAACCTCGGTTCAACATACTATAGGGAGTCGCACTCTCGCGACGTAGGTTGAAGGAGCAACAATCGATCCTGACAAGGCCAATAAAATCCGCTTTCGCTGGAAGCCCCGCCTTCCACAGATTACAAACGTGAAGCTAGGATTCATTATTTCAATTATTCCGCTTTTCACGATGGTGTGAACAGGAACAATTCATGCTACTTAAACAAACAATTGGATAACTAAACTGTCCCATAGTGGTAGAGCGTGCTCACCCCCTGGACGTTGTGTGTTGAAGGTTGTACTTGTTCTCATATGTTTTCTGATCACAAACAACTAGTTATTCTTCAATTTGCTGGTGCAATGAGTAAGATGGCTAAGAAAACGACCGAGATGACCATGGCTAAGCCGTGTTCGGGGTCGAGATCATGCCCCCAGTCATGCGGTTATAGCATTTATCAGAAAGATACACACGGAATATGTGTAGTTTGTCTCGGCTTGGAGCACGCTCAGGCGTCCCTTGCTCGAACCAGCTTGAAGCACGCTCAGGTGTCCCTTGCTCGAACCAGTCTGTGTGTGCATTGCTGCGTACAATCTCCCTGGAAAGACATGTAGCATTCTCGAGGAAGCTTGGAATTACTGATGGCAACTTTCCTTTCCCGGATGGCGGTACCTTGGCTGGGACTGAGGTTCAGGAAGGAGATGGATTGGGTGGTCGGAGCAAATGTCTTGTCTGTCTGGGCATGGGGTATGCAGTGGCTGAATGCGCCCAACCCGGCTCCTGTGCGCTCTACACGAAGAAAGAGTGCGGCCAGGTTCGGTGGGTACCTCCGCCACCTGTGTCTACCTCGGTCAAGCACCGCCTGCCTCTCTTCCCAGACTTGTTGATGAAGGGTCCGGTCCCCCATCAGTGATCCGGTCCTTGCCAAGGCGAGCTAGCTATTACTAGCTATTCCTGCGGTGGAGTTGCTGGGGTAGCTCTCCTGTTTAGTATACATAGCATTAAAGTCGCTTGGTTATTCTAAACAGACCGTGCTGCGGTCAAAGAGGCTAGCTAGCCTAGCTCATTCTAAAAAGCCTCCTGGCTAACATCGGCTAGCATGCTTAACTTCCGACGAGTGAAACTTAATAGCTTTCCGCTGGCGATATCGCAACCCCATTCCTATTTCCAGTTCCTGTAATTGGAGGGAATGAAGAAAATAGGGTTTGCATGCACCGCCGATGAAGAAGCAACATGCTTTCGCTTTGAGAGACTAGTCAAGGATCATATCACCTCTACGTTACCTGCCACCCTAGACCCACTTCAAAACAAAGGAGACTTCAGGAAACAGCAGAGGGTGCACCCCCCTATCCACATCGACGGGACCGCAGTGGAGAAGGTGGAAAGCTTCAAATTCCTTGGCGTACACATCACTGACATGGACCACCCACACAGACAGTGTGGTGAAGAAGGTGCAACAGAGCCTCTTCAACCTCCGGAGGCTAAATCAATTTTGCTTGGCACCTAAAACCCTCACAAACTTTTACAGATGCACAATTGAGAGCATCCTGTCGGGCTGTATCACCGCCTGGTACGGCAACTGCACCGCCCGCAACCGCAAGGCTCTCCAGTGGGTGGTGCGGTCTGTACAACGCATTACCGGGGGCAAACTACCCACCCTCCAGGACACCTACAACACCCGATGTCACAGGAAGGCCAAAAAGATAATCAAGGACATCAACCACCCGAGCCACTGCCTGTTCACCCCGCTGTCAACCAGAAGGCGAGATCAGTACAGGTGCATCACAGCTTCTATCTCAAGGCCATCAGACTGTTAAACAGCCATCACTAGCACATTAGAGGCTGCTGCCTATAGACATAGACTAGAAATCACTGGCCACTTTAAGAAATGGAACACTAGTCACTTTAATAATGTTTACATATCTTGCATTACTCATCTCATATGTATATACTGTATTCTATACTATTCTACTGTATCTTATTCCATGCCGCTCTGACATCGCTTGTCCATATATGTATATATTCTTAATTAATTCCTTACTTAGATTTGTGTGTATAGGGTGTATGTTGTGAAATTGTTAGATATTACTGCACTGTCGGAGCTAGAAGCACAAGCATTTTGCAACACCCGCAATAACATCTGCTAAACACGTGTATGTGACCAATAACATTTGATTTGATGTCCCCGGTTGCCTCAACTCGGATGCAGATATTTTATCCAGGTGGGACCCTCTCTCTCAGGAGTGGAGGCTCTCCAAATTATGGGACATTTTCGGCAGGGCCGACATAGATCTTTACACATCATGAGAAAACGTGCATTGTCGTCTAATTTTCATCGATGAGGGACCCGAGTGCCCTGTCGGGAACAGACGCTCTGGCGCAACAGTGGCCTCGGACTATGTGTATAAGTGGCAAGCATTTGAGCTCTGGTGCCAAGATAAAGGACTTGTTTCTTTTCAGTGCTCTGTGAGGGACATTCTTATGTTCCTACAGGAGCTTTTGAAGCATTCTCCTCTTTAAGTGTACATGGCCGCTGTCTCAGTGTGTCATGTGGAAATTGACGGAACCTCACGGGGGTGGTGCAGTTGCTGAAAGGTGTAGGTCATCTCAGACCGGTCTCTAAACCTATTGAGCCCACATGGGACTTGGCGCTGGTTTTGGAGGCACTGTGTGCGGCCCCCTTTGAGCCTCTGGAGTCGGTGGATTGGAAGATCCTCTCCTAAAAAAACCTCCCTGCTCATGGCTTTGGCCTCGGCTAAACGTGTTGGGGACCTCCACACGTTATCCATACACCCTTCCTGTAGTCAGTTCGCCCCGGGCGACTCCAAGGTGACTTGTGTCCAAATGCCCGAAAGTCATGGCTATGTCCTACAGGTCCTTAGCTTTTGAGCGATTTCCCTTTTCGCCTCCTTCTTTTACTTCTGAAGCGCAACAGAGGTTACATGCCCTGTGTCTGGTGCGAACTTTACACACGTACATTGACCGGACCCGGGATATCTGTTTATGTGACCAACTTTTTGTCTGTTTTGCTAATCCAGCTCGTGCAGGGTTCTCTCTAAGCAGCTTCTCTCCCCTGGCATATAGCAGCAAGGGGCAAGTGTTACCTAGCAGTGTACACGCCCACTCCACCAGAGGTCTGGCGGTGTCTTGGGCATTGTGTAAAGGGTTGACTATAGGAGATATTTGTGCTGCTGCGAGTTTGGCATCACCACACTTTTGTGATATTGTATCGCTTGGATGTCACTGGTTCCAGTATAGCACACCGTGTGCTTACGGCCGGGACAGGGAAAGTCACTAGGCAGCACACCGGGTGCGCAATACCCAGACTGCCGCATCAGGCGGGTCATCGGTTGGGTTCGGCTTGGGGGGTGATTATATTTCCCCATAGTATGTTGTACCGAAGTTGACTGACTGAAACAGAACATAATGTTATGACTATAACTAGCTACAGTTCCCTGAAGGAGAGAAATTATGTACAACACCTCTTTGGCACCGCACTGCCCGTGCTCGGTTAAGAGCGGTATTCAGATTCAGATCAACTTTATTATACCACCAGGGGGAAATTCATTTGGTCAGGCCCATGTCGCTCAGTTGGTTGAGCATGGCGCTTGCAATGCCAGGGTTGTGGGTTCGATTCCCACGGGGGGCCAGTATAAAAATGTATGCACTCACTAACTGTAAGTCGCTCTGGATAAGAGCGTCTGCTAAATGACTAAAATGTAAATGTCATGTGCTTAAATTACGGTACATGAACACACAGAAACTGCACAATAGAATTCATTGAAAGTGCTATAGCCTACACATTTACAGTGAAAGTGCAACATGTTACAGTGAGGGGAAAAAAGTATTTGATCCCCTGCTGATTTTGTACGTTTGTCCACTGACAAAGAAATGATCAGTCTACTTCCCGCCTGTAGCCACCGCTTATGTTGGGCATACTTAATGTGATCTTTTATATCACTATTGCCAAAGTGCGCAAACGAAAATGTAGTTCTGCAGTGTGTGCGCAGAATGCCGCATTTTCGTTGCGGGTTACTTCACGGAGGAAAGGATAGGCCTTCTGGAGGTATTTAGAAAATACATTATTTCTTCTCGGCCAGAGAGTGAACACATTTATATTTTGTCTATTTTCATTTTTAGCTCAATGTGATGGATTTGGATGGCAATGATTTTGGAATTCCTTGCTCAACCCCATTTAGGTATTAGAAAATCTTGACGCCCAATATGACATTATTTTTGTCAGTGTTCTAGTGCTGTACAAACATGCATATGATAATCCACAATGACCCATTTACTTTTTTCTTCACAGGACAGTGGTCAGAATTTGTGTCGAGTTATCCATTTCATAAGGTACCCTTTCATATGAAGTGGATTTGCAAGTTTTGCACATTTTCATCAGTTAATCAGCGCACCA